ATGCTGACTCCCCCTCCCCCCTCCTGAGTTCCATGGATCACCTCACCAATCCACGAAGTTATATTAAGATGTACACACACACACACATACTTCTGTAGCTTCAGCCAAATATCAAGTGGGTGTTTGTATGAGATTACCCACCGCCACATTGTTAGGGTTTGTAGCTCTTCCTTGTGCAAACCCTAAGCCATGGTGGCACGCGCCACGGGTGTGAACAGTAATTGCTTCACAATACATGCTGCTTCTCGTGGTTCCATGTCACTTTCACCTACATTCTTTTTGCTCATCCTGAGAGCTAAGGGACAGGACTTTTTAATCTCTGGTTTCCAATGACTGAACCTAACCTCCAAGATCACAAGGTTCATTAAATAGAGAAACAGTTCTCTATTAAAGTGAGTCTTCTATCCCTCTCGGTATAGAACCACGTCACAGAGGAGGCAGTGGTGATGTCCACATCCTCCCATGGTATCTGAAGAGGGATCCATCAAGAACAAGGGGAGTGTTGTCACCTGCCCCTTCCCAGCCATCAGAGCAGGCAGGAATTAGGAGAGACACATACACACCTGTGCTGCCCTGGTCACGCACACCAGCCTCCAGTGCCATACAGAGAGATGGCACCCACCTTATACCAAGTGTGCTCACCTCTGACGCCTGCCCGGGCAGCCTTCACGCACCAAATTCCAACATCTCAACTCTCACGCAGAGACCTGCCCTGTTCTGAAATCTTCTCTTCTTTCTGTGCGTTTGTTTCAACTAGAAAACCTTACTGGAACCAAAATGTGAGTGGAAGTCTGGAAGTCTAGCTGTGGTTACCACAGATATTAAACATATCCCGGCCCACTGCTCAGGGCCACAGGCTGCCCCATCTGGCCTTGTGTGCAAATTTCTATGATACATTTTTGAGAACACACACACACACATACTCAAAAAGTATAATAAAAAGGAATTGTCAAATGATGTTGACTTCCCTTTCAGGAGACAGTGTCCTCAACCCCAAAGGCTGTAGCAGCAGAACATCTCACTCAAGAGAGCCCGTGGGGTCCGTCCCACCACGGCAGTCTGGAGCTCCCGTTGTACTCCAGAAACAACCTGGGAGAAATGGACGCCTTCCCGGAGCCAGGACCCTGCTCCCCATGAGTTGACTTGCCTGGTCACTGATTTAACATTCTTGCTCTCAGAAGTCACACCGAGGACAACACTGTGGTCATCACACCTGACAATTTGTATTCAATTTCGTTGACATCTTGAACAATGGTTTCAAATCTGTTAACTGTGACCACGGTGGACCTAGTACTAGTTCCCACTGGTGTTGAGGGGTCTGTGACTCGCAGCGACCCCGTAAGGACATAGTAGAACTGCCCCATCGGGTTTCCAAGGCAGACATCTTTGTGGAAGCAGACTGCCACATCCTTCTCCTGTGGAATGGTTGGTGGGGTTGAACTGCCAAACTTCTGTCTAGTCGTCAATCACCTTAAGCATCGAGCCACCAGGTCCCCTCGGGTTCTCGGTGGTGGTGGTGGTGTGCAGTCAAGTCGCTTCCAACTCACAGCAACCCTGTATAGGGTTTCCGAGGAGTGGCTGGCACGCACGTTTGAACCGACGCCCCTTGGCAGTTAGCAGTTTAGTGATTATCTATAGCACCAAACCAAGACTCCTTAATTGCCAGGTTGTTATTAAGTGTCATTGAGTCGGTTCCAACTTACATCGACCCTGTACAGGATTTGTGAGGAGTGGATTTGAACAGCCAAATCTTGTGGTTAGCTGTCCAGCGCTTATCCACAGTGCCACACCAGGACTCCTAACCAACAGTGGTGGCGCTATCAAAGTTGGTTTCAACTCGCTGAGCTCCTGTGTAGGGTTTCCAAGGCTATAAATCTTTACACAGCAAAAATCTCAGTTTTCTACCACAGAGCAGCTGGTGGATTTGAACTACTGACCACGTGCTTAGCAGCCCACCGTGTAAACCACTATGCTACCAGGGCGCCTTCTGGTTCTATTTACTCACTTTGAAATATCTTTGGAGTCCTGACATGGTGCTGCAGGGTTAATGCGCTGGACAGCAATGTCAGTTTGAACCGCAATGTCGCTGGTTCAAGCTCACCAGCCACTCCTCGGAAACCCTATACAGAGTCACTATGAGGAGGAACCGACTCAATGGCACTTGACAACAAATATCTTTAGAAGACCAAACAACTCTGCTTCTCCTCATTGAATCAACTTTGCACTTTCTGACGGCATGACCATAAAAGCTGACTAGCAAGCACACCTGCCCTCGGGTAGAGTGTCTAAGGACAGAGATGCTGCGGTTTGTTTTTTCAAACGTTTGTGGCATGTAGGATCAGCAGTTCAAAACCCCCAGCTGCTCCTCGGAAACCCTATACAGGGTCTCTATGGGTCAGAACCAACTCAACAGCATTTAATAATACTCTTTAAAAGTAACCAAGAATTTTTTTTAAAAATCATTTTTTAAAAGCAACAAGCAGCACTGTGGGACCCCAGGGTCCTTGGTGTGCTCGTATCCCAAAGTACCTGAGACTGTCCGGTGCCTGGGGGATGGGCAGTAAAGCATCTTGTTCACAAATAGAACAAAGAGAGAAATGAATGAGTGGGCAGCCGGTCCAGCCCTGCATTCAGCATCATTTCATTTTTCTACCTGACACCATCGTTTTGCTGGTAAGGTCAAATGATGCTCAGTTCAACTCATTGACCGCATCGACGTAAAGGCCACTTGCCTTCTAGTCAGCTCTGGCGCCCAGTGACCCCGTGGGGGTCAGGGAGTGACCCCGTGGGGGTCAGGGTAGAACTGTGCTCCAAAAGGTGACAGTTTTGGAAGTAGATAGCTGGGCCTATCTTTTGAGGTGTTGCTGGGTGAGTTTAAGTGCCCCCACCAACGGTTGACAGAATTAACCCATATGCATCATGGGGGTGGGGAGCCTGGGGGTACCCACGTAAAGCCTCCTACCTCGCAGCCCTCCTTGATCATCCATTCAATTACCCCACAGTGGCCTCCATCGGCAGCCCAGTGGAGAGCTGTGCAGCCTCCCAGGTCTCTAGTCTCCCAGGAAGCGCCGTGTTTCCGGAGATACTTCACAACATCCAGGTGCCCCGCATAGCACGCAAGCATGAGGCTGTAAGAGATGGAGGCCGCCATATTGGATGGCTGTAAGAGATGGCGGCAGCCATACTGGATGGCTGTAAGAGATGGCGGCAGCCATGTTGGATGGTAAATGCACAGGGGTGGGAGGGTCAGCCCAATCCAGCAGTCACCAAACACAGTGATTGTGTCATCCCACTGTTGCGGATGTTCTTGTGTGCCGTGGAGCCAATGCCTACTATTAGCACTGTAGGATAAAGCACCAGACTGCAAGCTTGATCTGAACTGCAAGGTGGCAGTTCAAACCCACTGGCTGCTCCTCAGAAACCCTATGCAGGGTTGTCAGGAGTCGGAACCAACTGGACGGCATTTACCACCACCAACAGGACAGAGGAGAACTGCCCCATACGGTTACCTAGGCCCTAACCTTCACAAAGGTAGATGGCTATGTTTTTATAGACAAAGAACAGATCGGTGACCACTAGAGGTTGGGGGAGGGGGAGAAGGAAGAGTCCAGCTGGAAAGGGCTGGGAAGAGAGGTCATTTGCTGACCACTTAGTCTGTGCTGTGTCCGGATCTAGAGAAAACAATAAACCTCACAGACGCCATGTAGGCACCCCAAAGAAAGAGAGGCTCGATGGGTAAGGGAACAAGCCGGCTTCTGTTGCCATCATCGTTCCTGGGGGACGTACTCACCTGGTGCCAGCAGAAGAAACGGACTTGAGATACTGATGTGAAATCAGAAACGCTTTGGGGACAAGTCTAGAGACACTCTTCTGGGATCCTCAGCACCCTTCATGCCACATCCCACTGCCGTACCTGTCCTTACCACTTCCGTTCTTCAGATTCACGTCGGTGCCATTGGAAACTAGAAGCTTCACAAGCCTACAGACAAAGGTAGAGGCAGCCAGGGAGTACCATGGCAGGCTCAGTCATGGACTCACTCACGTTACGTTCTTCTCCCACTGCAGCCATGAGCAGGCCAGAAAACAATCGTGCTTTTTCACAAACAACACGTGCCTTCCACTCTCCTCGCCAACTGTTCTGTCTAGGAGGCATTTCTGTAAATGTGTTGTACTGATTTTTTACAAGAACAGGTTAAAAAAAAAATTGGCATCGCCACCTTTGGGAAGGCAGCTGGAAAAGAAGCTAGAAGGTGTGAATTGACTTGTGGGGGGAAAAAAGTACACTACCTCTGTACATGAAGATGGGGTCTTCACCCTCTGGGCAAATTACTGGTCAAAAACTGAGCTATCAAGATAATTCAGTCATTTTAATGATCATTTCTAATAAATATTCAAATGGCAACATTTAATGAAAATGCTCGTCCACATTGTTCAAAATGTCATTTTAAACACAATTGAAATATAAAGATGATTTTAAAATAAGATATTAGTATACATGCTTATCTCTTTTGCGGGGGACTGGGGTGGGATGACTGATCTTTGCTTTGCCAAATTGAAGGCCTGTTCTCCGTCTTGGGCATGGCCACAACTTTTTACACAGAAGCACTTTACACACTGTACAATGTTCACTGATAGGTGAAACCAAGAATAAGAATATGAGTCTGAGTAGGCAAAGACGGGTGAAGAGTAAGCCAGGAGTAAACCTCTGAAATCAAAGGGGAAGCAGCATTCTGTAGATGTGATCTGAGGGGAGGAAATGGCTCAGTCAAGGAGCCACTGGGGAAGAGGTCAGTGAGCAGGGTACAGGGAGAAAAGAACTATCAAACAACCTTTGGCACAGAGACCGGGTAAGCATTCACGAAGACATTAAATCATAAGAACATGACTTGGAGTTTGAAGGGAAAGAAATTTACCACAAGCCGCCTCTGGAACAAACCAAATACAGTTGGAATCTTACAGCCCAAGCCTTGTATCACCACTTTCTTTTCCCCAAAAGGTCATGCTACTGATAATTAAATTCTGAGGACAAGAACCCAGATGGCTAGAGGGAGATGCGTACACATAGAATCTTAAAAAATTAAAGAGAGATAAAAGTAAAATGATTCAAGTACTGGTGGAGGACAGACAAAAGCTCAGGCATAATGAGACACCATCTCAGCCATCCTAGGAGGGGAATTTGTTTTCCAGAATTAATATCTGCCCCCTCTTTTTTCAAAGAAATTTCAATTCCAATAACTACTTTTCCCTGGAGGCATAAGATATATTGAATACAATTAACCACCTCTCTTCCCTAACACATAATTACACAGTTCACAATCCTCTCCCTCCTACTAAAAGCAAACAAAAACAAGGCGGATTCTGGAAGTGCCATGTGCTAAGGCTTTGGGAAGAGACAAGAAGTGGCGTTCCTCCACAATCTTCTGCTTCCCAGCCGAACCCAAGGGATGAAGACAAACGCCGTACCTGGTGTATCCTTTCTGGGCCGCTACCATCAGTGCAGTAAAGCCAAACTTATTAGGAACATCAACCTTCACGTGGCTTGTGGGAAAACACAGAGCAGAGACATTAGCAAGCCTGCCAGGGCTCCCTGTAGGTTTGTGGCTGGGCACAGGTGGATGCCAGGGCTCATTTAACAAAAATTCCCTTCTTCTGGGCCATTAAATCTTTGTTGTCTCAGACTGAATTCCCTAATATTTTAAGAGATCCAAATGTGCAGGAATAGAAGAGCAAATTGCTGCGATTGCACTTGAAATGGGCATTCACTCCAATTCAGAGCCAGCCCTCCATGTCAGGAAACTTCCCACTGAGGGCACAGCCTTTGCTGAGGGAATGTTCTCCTCAGCACTGAGCAGAGAAGCCTGTGTGTGAGTTTCTCTCTGCAGCCCATCCCCTATCACGTCCTCAGTGTTAACGTGATACCATGCCAAGCTGAAGGCAAAGCTGCTGATCATCAGCATGGAACTCTGGCTACTTATGGTAGCCCTGTCTTCTCCAACTTCGAGGCCCAATTCACAAACGATTTGTCTTTGGAGGTGCTCAGGGCCCGTGTTTTAAGAAAATCCTAAAACACGTCTGTTTTCCATTTAGAGGGCAACTTTAGATCAAAACCCATCTGAGGTGCGTGCATAGACTCGCCATTTCAGCTCGAGTTGTCTTAGCATCACTGCGCTAGAAATAAGCGTATGTGATTCCCCGTTTGATTAGAAATTAGATGTAAGGATTTTGGGTGAAACCTGCCTATGAGCTGTGATATATAAGCAAGCCTCAGAAATATTGATGGGGAGAAAATATGATATCCACATGTGTAATTTCCTTTAATGAAAGTACTTAAACAATTATGAAAATGAGCAAGGGTAAGGCTTTCTGATTATTATCTTTCCCAACTTTGGTAAGCCCTGGTAGGGTAGTGGGTTACACACGTGGTTGGCTAACCCTAAGATCAGCAGTTCAAACCCACCAGTCACACCAAGGGATAAGGAGGAGGCTTTCTGCTCTAGGTAAGATTTGTTGTTGTTAAGTGTCTTCGAGTCAGTTCCAACTCACAGTGACCCTGTATAGAGTTTCTGAGAGCGGCTGGTGAGTTTGAACCACCAACCTCATGGTTCAACTTTGCAGTCCAGCACATTAACCCACAGCACCACACCAGGACTCAGAAATGCTCTACGGAGTCGCAGTGGAGTCGGAATCAACTCTAACGGCATACAACAACAACAACAAACTCTGCTGAATGCCCAATAATCATAGAGCCAGTTTCCAACAGCCCGGGAAATGTTAGAAAAATGAGAAAAAGCTGGATCATGCAATTCATTTACAAACAATAGAAATGAACAAACAAACAAAACCAGAGAGATCTCTCACCCTCCTTGAAGGATTCGAACAAGCAAATCTTCATCGTTCACGTTGACAGCGCGATGGAAATGCTCGCTACTCATGGGTTCTCCTGAGGAAATGAGACAGAGCATCGTCATCCAAGACATAATGTGAGCGCCTCCATCCCAGCCATATGCCTCCTGTGCCTTTAAGTGGATGGCCACCCTCACCTCCAAGAAGGCATATGACTACTCTGCAAACACAGAGTGTTTCCTACTCAGCGCAGCTTAGTGTGTGGACAGACTGGGAAGAACACTGAGTGCGGCCTAGAGGTCTCAGGGAGCTCTGGTGGTGCAGGGCTTAAAGTGGTCTGCTGCAAGTCAAGAGGTGGGCAGTCTGCAAGAACGATGACAGCCTTGGAGACCCCAGCGGGCAGCTCCACCCTGTCCTCTAGGGTTGCTATGAGTTGGAACCGACTCGACAGCTTAGAACCACCACCACCACAACAACAACAACCACAACAACAAAGGTTTAAGATGCTTGCAAGTTTTAGAAGCGCTGCTTTGTGACCTGAGTTTTGACATTTGAAAAGAAGTCTTTTCGATATCATAAAATAAGCTGAGTTAAAAACCCTGAACTCCAAACCCACAGCCATCAAGTCGATTCTGACTCACAGTGACCTTAGAGAGGATCTCCAAAGCGGTCAGTCTCTGCAAGAGCAGCCAGCCTCATCTTTCTCCCATGGAGCAGCTGGTGGGCTTGAACCACCGACCTTGAGGTTAGCAGCCCAGCACTTAACCTGCAGTGCCACCACAGCTCCTTCAGCTGAGTTGTTGGACTTCATAAATGTCTCTTATATGCAAGAAGCAGCTTAGCCAGTGTTACAGTGCGGGGGCTTCATCCTTCAAAACGTCACCAGACCATTTAACAACCCAACAAAAATTGCCTTCACATCTGACATCCAAGAGCTCAGTCCTCCCCAGGAAGATGACATTCATGTAGACCTTGTCTTTCCTGAGCGTCTGGGGTGGACGGGGTTGTGTATGTGTGTGTAGTGGTGGTGGTGGTGGGGGGGGGTGTCCCAGTGGCAGGTGAAAATTGTGTTGATGCTAGACTGTCAGCTATCAATGGAGCCCTGATGATTTTGTGGGCTAAGTGCCGTGCTGTTACCATAACGTCAGTGGTTCAAACCTACCAGGTGGCTCCAAGGGAGAAAGATGAGGCTGGCTCTTCCAGTAAAGGTTTACAGCCCCCAAAACCCTATATAGGGTCTCTATGAGTCAGAATCAACTGAACGGAGCAATAGATTTGGTGTTTTGGTAATCTATGAAGTATTCAGCAGCATGAACGAGAAAGTTTAATGTGACAATGGCCAAAATGTAACACAAAGACACCAAGTGAGCACAGATTGTTGGGAAAATGGATCCGATACACTTTGCCCCATCCAGAGTAGCTATACACCTGCAATTTGTTTTTAAAAATGAAAAGAAAAAAAAAGTCACATCTGCAAAGCACAATAAAGCAAAGACTGCCTGTATCCATCCATAAGATACCCACACACACACACACTGCCTACAGAGGTCCACCCCTCACTGTACCCACCACACACACAATCTGGCCTGCAGAGATGCTTTGGGCCCCTTGGCAGGGGTCAGACATGTGCCTGCAACTCTCCTTACATAAGACGGGGGGAGGAGGGGGTGCGGCTCTGGGATGTAGCTCCCCAGCACAGGAGCCCCTCTTCCTCCTTGTTTCCTGACTCCGCTGTGCACAGAGATCTGGGCAGAGAATGAACTGCTAACACTTGGCCAGGGGGGAAGGGGGGTGTGCCAGCAGCAGAACGAAGCTGCTCACTGACACCTTTCTCTTCTTTTCTGGCCAATAAATGTGTGTCAGGTGAACACTGCTTTGAAATGACTTTTGTCTGCCTATCTCCTAGAGAGATCTTGTTGGCTGTATCATATTCTTCTTCCTCTTTGCCATACACCACAGCTCTCTCAGACCCAGAGCTCCAGACATAGGCGTCCCACAGCTCTCACGGTCTCTCAACAGAGGTCATCGTGGCCAGGTGCTTGTCAGCAGCAGGGGTGTGCCCCCCGCCCCAGAACTGTGACAATGTCTAGAAACATATTGGTTGCTACCACCTGGGTAGGGAGAATCCTTCTGGCATCTCGTGGGTTGAGACCAGGTTTGCTGCTAAATACACCTCCAAGGATGCACAGAACAGCCGAGTGAACTCTGGCCTCAGAAGTATGCACTTAAAATTATATTCTGTGATGCGGCACACCCAGGTGGATAAACTCAACCTATGGAGTGTTTCCCTTCCTTCCCACTCCCCAGAAAGAAAAGGGGGGCTGGTGGGAGTGTAGAAGTCTCCATTATCCCACCACACAGGCCTCACCCACCCCACATCCATGACACTCTCACATTGACTGCCACCCAGAATGCAAAGCAAGTCATGTGCAGAGAGTCACCTGCAGGAACACACGAAAACACATGGGATTTCTGTTCGATTTTTAAATGTGGTCTCCCAAGTCAAATCCTGAGAATTCAGTTGTGTAGTAAGCTTTCTCCAGCACTCTGCTTCCAAGTCTCCTTCAAACCACATGACTGAGGTGAGAAAGGTTGAATTAACTGTCCAAGATCATCCAGCCAGTGGCAGACCGCTCCAGAATTCAAGGCCATGCTGATCTGATGGGCACACCCCTTCCTGTTGGCATTTTACTCAATAATGTGGCATCTGCCCAATTCACCAAGGCTTCCACTTTCATGATGTTTTTTATACAGACACTCACCTTAAGAATGGCTCCACTGCCCCCCAGCACCCCCGATGATGTGTGAAATGAAAGGGGACGCCCAAACAGCTTCAGGAAGTGCTAACTTTCTGTGATTTTAAAGGGAAGCTCTAAGGCTGCACCCCACACCACACCTACATCCCATGCCATCATCTGTCTTCTCTGGCTGCTGGGCTCTCTCAGAAGGGCACTCCTAGTTCATCTTAACCCGGAAGCTCAGCAGCATGCAAGTATCAGAAAACGAAAGAAGTTCATTCCATACTGTTTGAGCACTGTTTGTAGCAGAGACTGGGGCAGGTTGATCTTATAGTCTACTTCAGAGTGTTTGCCTATTCCAACTTCTGCCAAGACATAATTGGCGCTCAACTTATTCTGAAGACAGAGGTGAGACCCTCACAGATACAGGAGAGAACAACCATAAACGTTCATCATTCTGGACATGACAATCAACTCCTGGCTCCTTCCTTCGCCACATCCACACTAAGAGGCACAGAGGAGTGTCATCCTAACAATCCCCATCAAACTCGGCCCCCAAAACCCCCACGGGTGACATGAACTAAACTGAACAAAGAATGGAAGGTTCTCATTCCAGCACACAGCTCTCTCCTTTCTACACCTATTACAGGCAGGAGAGGCACACAGAACACAGAGGGAAACGCCGGGTGGGCAAAATCCTCTACCCTTCAAGACTGTGGGTCCCACCCAGAGGACTGCCATAGACCAGCACATCTGGACATGAATAAGAGGCAGAGCCTTGGCCACCTCGGGCTTGCTTCTTCCCCGTATTTACCCAGTGAGTGCTGCACTGACAAGCTTCCCACTATCATTGCCCAGTGCTGTTCCTCTGTGTGGAACCAGCCCAGGACTCAGACCCTGTGAAGGGGAGGGCCAAGGTGGTCTTCAGCAAGTCATCAGCCAGGCTCTACCTGCAAGAGGGTCACGGGATGCAGACGTGCTGGCAGGTACGACGACCACGCGGTGGTAAACACCTTGCTGAGCGGAATCTAAGTCTCTATTAAATGCCGCGAAAAAATGACAAGCTCCTTGGAGAAGGTATTTGCCAATTAACAAGTAGCAGCTGTTTTTCTTTCTTAAGGACCCAACTGATTAAAATTGCATGCCTCATTTAAGCAAGTCTCCTGTACTTTACCTGAAAGAGTTTTTTTTTTTTAAATATTAAAAAAGACTGAGCATCCTTTATTCAAACAAAGTATGTGTTTGTGCGATGGATTAAAAGTACTTTCAAACTGAACTGCAAATGATGAACCCACAGAAGCATTTTCACTTGTTTTGTAGTTTGTGCATTTTAAATTTTTTGTTTAGTGTGGTATTCTCCTTAACAGAGGCTGATTTGGAAATACTAACAATAGCACAAGAAGGCAGCAGCCTACCAGCAAAGCCAAGAGCGTTCCCAAAGGAAGAGACCCCCACAGCCCCTCACCCACCCACACCTCGCCGCCCCCCAACCTGGGCATTCACAACACAAAGAAGTAACTCAGGTTCTACTGCTGAGCTGTTTTCTGAAATCTCCTCCAAGCTCCAGTAGCTAAATCTCTCTCACGTCAACACAAATGCCTTCCATGCAGTCACATTATAAAGTACGTCCTCTCAAAAGGGCAGCACTCACCTACGACGTGCACGAGGAGGAATAGAAATGGGCAACACAGGAAGGAAATGGGATCTGTAACATTACATTGTAGGGATTGCAATCAATGAGATGAAACAAAAGGCGTGTGAATCACCTTCCCCATTCACAAGAGGAAATTTCCTACAGGAAGAAAGAAGGCCCTCCTTCTGCTGTGTGACCCCATCACTAACTACCCACCTTCGATTGTTTCCTTGAAGTTAGTTTCCTGGCTAGCGGAGCACCACCAGGAATGCAAGCCAAGTCTCTGCTCTCAGCTTTAACTCGGAGTTTATTAAACTAAGAGGGCTCCAATCTTCAAGATGCCCTCATTTTCAACTGAAGATACGCAGGCTGACACAAAATTGGAATTCTCCGTAACCCACAGCAAACATATCCATGAATAAATGCCTGAAGGACACAACTGAGATCCACAGAAAATACATACAACATTCACGGTGAGGTTGCCGCTGTGTTGGTTCTGGGGCACAGTGACCCCACGTGCCAGAGAACGAAGCAGTGTTCGGTTGGGTACCATCCTCACTCTTGGCCCATTGTTGCAGCCTCTATGTCATTCCACCTCACTGAGGGGCTTCCTTTTTTCCCTGGACCCTCCATTTTACCAAGCGTGGCGTCCTTTTCCAACTACTGCACTGGATGAAATCTTAAAGCAACTTTTACTCACTAGAAAAGCCACCCAAACAGACGAGTCTGCACTTGCAGTGGGAGGCCAGGAAGATGGTTTCCAGCACTTTGGATCTTTACAAACTTCTAGCTCAAAGTATCTGCACACTTAGAAAGTGAACTGGGGAAACAGGCTCCAACTGAGGCCAGCCTCTCTGGTCACCACTTCCATGGAGGAAGGGGGGATGCTCTCCCCATTCCACAGTGGAAGTAGCAATGCTAACTTGCCCTCTCCTCCTCCCTCACATCATCCCCAGGAATCAGATGTGTGTCAAGTGAAGTTGTCCAAAGAGGCAAAATCCTACATCACCATCCTGGCCCAGGGCCCCCCAGACAGGCAGTCTAATGCCCCACGTGGGAGAAGCTGGGCCCATACACACACCCCTTTTGTACCAAAGGGATGTTATCTACAGTCCAGGCGTGCACACAACTCTCTCAGTTGGTGAAAGCACAGTTCGAATCCCCTTATGTGGTAGCCAGGTCTACCCACGTGACTATGCCATCACTGGGTGGAAGAACAGCATAGTTGTTCTTCTCATGCAATTGAGTAGAAGGCAGTGTTTACCTCTGAACTGCTCATCATCTTCATGTGTTCTGAAGGGCTTTCTTATACTCACTGGTTGTAGACACAGAAATGACTGGGCTGTACTGGTATTCTCCAGAGGGGCTGGTGACCTTCAGTCGAAATCGATAGAGGGTCCTTGGCTCCAGACCTTCAACAACATGCTTTGTTGCGTATCCCCTAGGTGGAGAAAGACATGTACACTCATCACACCAGCTGACCTACGAGCAACATTCTCTGGTCAACTGTTGAAGAGCAGCTGGCCAAGTTTCTGAGATAACTATTTCCAGGGCAGCTCTGACCTCTGCTGTGGACCTGCCAGTCTCTCCCACTAGAGACTGCAGCTCTGGGGGAGACAGGGAGCAAGTCCCACCAGGTGACGCCATCTCTGACCCAGGTCACCAATGCAGGGCCTCATCCAGCACTAGCTACCATGAAATTGGGTCCCTTGGACAAATCATCACATTAACCCATGCAGAATGCCCTCAAATGATAAGGTTTCACACATGAACGGTATTCACTCAGGCCGTCAAGCAGTAGATACATGGCTTCCCAGGGGCATCTTGGCATGATGAGAGCAGGGGAGAAGCCCCCAGATGATGACTGTGAATCTACATGCAAACTGCTAACAAAGGGAGAAGAGTGAAGAAGCAAGCACATGCATACCAGAGGAGTATTAGAAACGGACCATGCTATGGGGAAGTCCCACATCTCACACAAGACACCACCATCTTGCAGGGCCCCATGGTCAAATTCATCTAGGAATGCTGCAATCAAGGCTGGCAATAGAGACCCGGAGGGGTAGGCACTGCGTCCAATCATCAGAGCGGCTATAGGATCGGCAAGAATGGGAGCAGGCTTGGCCACTTCTTGGGAGACCTGGACCCAGCAGAGGGGCCGAGATCCCTGCCCCCTCTGCTTGGGAGGTGGTTGGTTCCAGAGGCCTGGCTGGGACATGGTGAGTAGATGTGCTTCCAGGAGATCAGGCCTCCCAAGGTCTACAGAGCTGTATCTACCTTCCCCTAATTGCCAGAAACCTCCAGTTTCCCGTTTACTGTCAAAAATCTTGATTGGTTTCTAATCCTTGATCTTTTTTTTCTTGTACCTCAAAGGTAGGACTCGAGGAGCCATAATTTCTAGTGTTCTTTTTTGCTTCCATGCTCAATACCACCCTGTTCCCCTCGCCTCAGAACCCCCTGCTTAGGTGCTTGCACTCCAAGTCTGCAACTGTTTCCTCCCATTTTTGTCTTGGTCTTGTCTTTGGTGTTTCTTCCATTCTTGCAGATTCCCAAAGACAAAAACCATACTCTACTTTTTCAATGATACTTATGTGCAACCTAACTCATTATACATCAATCCCAGTCCATGTAATTCAACCACCATATACTTGTGCCCTAGGCTTGCAAGGTGTTGGACAGGTGGGGGGTGTAGCCCTGGACCAGCACAGGAACAACATGGACCTGTCAGCAATGGGTGGACCTGCCTCCTGTTGGTGAGGGGGCAGTCAAGCACAGAGCACATAAACTACAGCGTTGCAGTGAACATCATTCCTACTGGAAACTCAACTGGGAGCAAGGCTGGAGATCTGGGTCAGGTGGGCATGCTCACACGTCAGCCGTCAACCACACAGCCTCACTCCCACAAGCCCAGTCTTCCCCCAGCAGAGCCAAACGTATGGCTTGAGAGCAGATATAAGCCTCGGTCTGGAAGCAAACCCCAAAAACCAAGCTTGTTGCCACCAAGTCAACCCCGAGTAAGGGTGACCCTAATCAGACAGAGCAGAACTGTGCCACAAGGTTTCCAATGCTGTCACCTTTATGAAAGCAGGCTGCCACATGTCTCTCGTGTAGAGTGGTGGTGGTTGTGAAGTGCTGTCGAGTCGGTTCCGACCCATAGCAACCCGGTATAGGGTTTCCAAGGAGCAGCTGGTGAGCTTCAAACACCAACCTTGCAGTTCACACGACTTTGCAGTCTGACGCATTAGGCCACAGCACCGCACTCCTGGAGAGTGGTTAGTGGATTCTAATCATTGATCTTTGGTTAGCAGCTCGGCACGCTTAACCCACTGTGCCACAAGGGATCCTGAATCAGAGAGCCCACAAAGTCTTTCAAGTCCCTTCTCCCAAACTCACTCATCCAACCTCCCTCCCATTGTGACTGGCCCCCAGAGAGTCACCCTCTAAGGGAGGGCTCCCAGTGTGAAGGGGGACATGGCCAACAGTGCTCTGTATAGTCCAAGGGGTGTAAGGAGCCCTATGGTCTACTGAGTAGCCAAGGGATGAGGCCTGGATGTGGGTTCCCAAGAGCGCAGTCTCAGAGCCATCTGAGGATCAAGGAAACCATTTTGACAACTGGGAAACAGCTATAATTTCTTCTCAGCATTTCTGTCTGCTGTTTATCCAAAACATAAATGTTCAACATGAAATAAAGTCCGGAACAGTCTGTGATACTTTCTTTATATCACAAGTTACTGCAGGCCCCGAATCTCAATGACTTCTTGGGTGTGGCCCTAATAGAGCACTCAGAGAGAGAGAGCAAGAAAGAGAGACCAGGCCTGAAAGGTGACCTCTAGCAAGTCCCTCTTCACATCGGATAAAGTTCACATCCTCCCCTCTTGAGCAAGCTCGAATGTGGCAGACACAATGCCATGTGAGGTCTGGACTGAGCCCTTAAGGAGACTAGTAGCTTCTGCCTTTGCTCTCTTGGGAGTGAGTCACCAAATAAAGATATCCAACTGCCCTGCTGCAGAGAGTGGCCACTTGGTGAGAAGAGGCCCTGGAGGAAGAAGGCAACGGAGAGAAGAAACCCAGTCAGCCTTCAGCCATCCCAGCCATGTGAGCAGAGGCACCACACATAGATATGAATAAAGCCATTTGGGTCCTCCAATCCCATTTGAGCTGCCTCAGCCAAAAGTCCACAGGAAGCAGGGAGAAGCCACCCTCCCAACCCTACCCGGATTGCACAATCATAAGTAAACACGTAACTGGTTTTGCTTTAAGCTTCTATCATTTCCATTTGTTTTCTGAGAGGTTTGGGATGCACCAACAGACGACTGATTCATCATGTATCAACAAAAGAAGCTATATGAAAGGAAATCAGGAGATACCACCAATGGTTTGAGTCAAGAAACCAAGGAAATAAACACAACGGCACTTAAATAAAAGTTAAAGCTCTGGAGCCAAGATAAATAGTCTGGAAATTGCAGTGGGTTAAAACAGAACAAAACCCCTTAGAACGCAATAGCTCAAGGCATCCTCTCACATATTGGTGGATGTTATTGCAACTGGGTATGCGTCCTTGCTTCTTTGGTTATGTGAACCATATAAACTGAGTCCCCAGTCATTTTGAGCATCAGCAAAGATCTTCAGGAGTGCTATGAGAACTAGACGATCCAAGCCCCAGAAGTAGTGTCAGCTAGCAAAGACTTAACAAAAGTCTAGATGAAAATAAAACCAACAGCCTCTCAATCAAAATACTCCCTATTGCTAAATCTTACAAGATCACACCAAAGTAAATAGCACCTTACCTTCTTAACACTTAGAAAGGGAAAAGGAAGACCTCTTTTAGAAAACTTGTTACGGAGTAACTCTGTGGTGGTGGTTGTTGTTGTTAGGTGCCATCAAGTCAGTACTGACTCATAGCAACCCTATGCACAACAGAATGAAACACTGCCCGGTCCTGGGCCAACCACACTATTGTTGCCATGCTTAAGTCCATCGATGCTGCCACTTGGCCAATCCATCTTTGCTGGGGTCTTCCTGTTTTTCTCTGACCCTCCACCTTACCAAGCATGATATCCTTCTTCAGTGACTGGTCCCTCCTGACAATATGTCTGAAGTATAAGAGACAAAGTTTGGCAATCTTGGTCTTGAAGGAGCACTCTGGCTGCATTTCTTCCAACACAGATCTGTTGGTTCTATGGGCAGCTCATGGAACTTTCAATATTCTTCTCCAACACAGTAACTCAAAAGCATCAATTCTTCTATAGTCTTCCTTATTTGCTGTGCAGCTTTTTCATGCATTTAAGGTTATTGAAAATACCATGGATTGGGTCAGGCACACCTTACGCCTCAAGCTGACATCTTTGCTCTTCAACACTTTAAAAAGGTCTTGTGCAGCAGATTTGCCTAATGCAATACGTGATTTGATTTCTTGACTGCAGCTTCCATGAGTGTTGATACTGGATCCAAGAATAATGAAGTCCTTGACAACTTCAATCTTTTCTCCATTGATAAGAATGTTGTTTCTTGGTGCAGTGGTGAGGATTTTTGTTTTCTTTACATTGAGATGTAATCCATACCGAAGGCTGTGCTCTTTGATCTTCATCACTATTTTAAGTCCTCTTCACTTTCAGCAAACAAGGTTGCATCATCTGCATGTCACGGGTTGTTAATGAGTCTTCCTCCAATCCTGATGCCATGGTTTTCTTCATATAATCCAGCTTTTTGGATTATTTGCTCAGCATACAGGTTGAATAAGTATGGTGAGAGAATACAACCTAGTTGCACACCTTTCTTAATTTTAAAAACCATTCAGTGTTCCAATGTTTTGTTCTAACAACTGCCTCTTGGTCCAGGTACAGATTCCTCATGAGCACAATTAAGTGTTCCAGAATATTCATACTTTGCAATGTTGTCTATAGCTTGTCATGATCCACACAATCGAAAGCCTTTGCCTAGTGAATAAAGCACAGGTAAACATCTTTCTGACATTCTCTACTTCTAGCCAAGATCCATCAGACATCAGTAATGATATCCCTTGTTCCACAGCCTCTTCTGAATCCTCTGTGCTTAGGATGTTCCAATTCCTCCTACTAGGATGTAAGCCCCATGTTCTAAATTAGTTCATTGCTGTATTCCCAGTTTCTGTCTAGCATATTGTTGATTGAATGAATTGACCTTGTCCTGGGCTTGGAGGTTCTCACATCCATGGATAGAAATGGGCCCCATGGAAAGTTATCAAGACATAGCAGGGTATAGGACACAAATGGCAAATAAGGAGGTGTTGGTGTTGGTGGGGATGGTGGTGGCGATGGTGATGGCAGTGGTGGTGGTTGATGGTGGCAGTGGTGTTGATTGTAGCAGTGGTAAGTACCGTCAATCCTATGCCAACTCATAGTAACCCTGTGTGACAGTACAGGTTACCCCAGAGGGTTTTCTATGCTGTTATTTTTACAGGAA